AGAATTTATTGTCTTTCCCATACCCCCACCCAGAATGTAAGCTTCTCCATTTTATCCAACACTGCACCGATGGCCAGCCCATAGGCCCTCAATAAATAACCGTTGAATAGTGACTATTTCCTTCATGTCTATAAAACTTGAGCATCTACTACAGTGAGCAAAGTAAATACCCAAAAATTATATGACAAAATGTATAAGAGCTTCTCTCCATGGAGCTCAAAACAAGGTGTGTAAGCCATTCTAATTGCCTTAATTTAGAATTAAGACTCTTCCATTTTTAAATTTTGAAATAGGGTCTGGGCTGAGTCTTGCAGGCCAGGCTTGACCTGTGACCCTCCTGCCCCACAGCCTCATGAGTGGCCATGATAGTGAGTTGTTTTTAATGGAATCAGGGAAAGGCAAAGAAGAGAGAAGTATGTGAGAATTCTGTGAGTCAATGATGGAAAATTAATAAAATACAGATTTAGGATAAATGACCATGAACTAAAAACCTTCTGCAAACATTCCAGAAGCAGTTTTTTCCTAAAGTATAAAATAATAAACTGAATTTTGAGCCCAAATTACCATGCAAGTGTTCTCATGTGAAACAAAGAATGTGCCTGTTCTTTTTAGAGGCTTTAGACTCCATGTGGCATGGAATCTACTGTAAATGCTCACTGTAATCTGCACTGTCCAATACAACAGCCACTAGCCACATGTACCTATTATGTAGTTGTAATGTGGCCAACACAACCAGGAAAGGAATTCTTAAATTTTCCTTAATTTTGGTTATTTTAATTTTAATTAGCCACATAGGGCTACTGGCTACCCTACTGAGCAGCACAGCTACAGGGGGTTTGATATATAAGCTCCTTGACTGGGTCCTTGCCTGTTCTCTAGCTCCTCTTCTGCTCCTCTCCCTCCCCACAGAATCAACTCTTGCAAGGCCAAACTGCTGTTTCATACCTCCATGGCTCTGCAGACGCCAGCCCCTTTGCCTTAAATGCTCTCCCTATCCAACTGCAAATTTCATCAAAATCTCATTTAGATTTCGTTCCTTGGGACAACTTTCCCTAACCTCCCTATCTCAGCCCACTGCTGCCACAATCCACCATTGCCTCCTCTGTATTTCTCTGAATCCATTTCTGTTACTATTCTCATTATCCTGTAGCTGTAATTTGTTTTCTGTGACACCAAGGATTTACACTAATTTTGAAGGCAGGTCTTATTTATCCCTCCATCCTGGTCATGTGTGGGCCCAGCCATCATATAATAAATCATATAATACAATACATAGTGTTTGCCGACAACATTATTCATTTTTGATCATGCATAATGTTCTATGAAAATAATTTTCTGAGAATTGACAACCACTTTATGGTTACTTGGGCCAATATTTATTAAAAGGCAAATCTTCATACTAATAAAAAGTTCTTAGAGCAATAGTTAAGGGTCTACTTAACTCAAACCCTATCAACATAGTAGTTCAGTAGAAACCAAGAATATAGATGTTCCCTAGCACAAAATCCTACCAATAGCTCCTCCTTCTTTTTTAAAAATATTTTTTAGTTGTAGATAGACACAATACCTCTATTTATTTATCTTTAAGTGGTGCTGAGAATCGAACCCAGGGCCTCACACATGCTAGGCACATGCTCTGCCACTGAGCCACAACCCCAGGCCTAGCTGCTGCTTCTGATGTAAATCTCTTGGATTTCAGAAACTGATCTTGCCATTGATCTGTCCCCAGTGGCTAAGGTGACTTTTCAGGGAGACAGGGAAGAGGTTCAGAAGCAAAAAAAGAGGATCTCATTTAAGACTCTCCATGGTCATGGTCATGGGAATTTAAAATAATCTATCTTTGCTGCACCCCCCCCATCCAATCCTACCTCCAAGAAGGAAATAATTAAAATCCTTTTTAACATGAAAAATAATGACTTTGGGTGATGTGTGTCCATCCAATGACATGTTATCCAAAAGGAATTGTGTGTTCTCCTAATTTCTTGACAAAGATTTTACTCAAGAAATCTTCCTAAAGGGTATCATCATGCATCTTTTGTAATGTTATCTGGCTCAATAGCCACACTTTTAAACTCATGATTTTCCAACTAATTTTTTATTTGGATTCCCACACAATTATTCCTATAGAGTCAGCTCTTGGTGAATACATTGCTGTAAGCCTTGTTTGTATAATTCCCAAATATCAAGCATGTGTTAAATATATCTTACAAATGTCTATTCTTCCTGCCCTCCAGGAAGGTACCGTTCAGTAATGCAAACAAGGAAGTACACAGTGAACAGATACATGCATGCTTGTGGGCACAGCAATAGCAGCAGGCATTGAAGAAAATGGATTTCAGGAAGAATATGAATCCAAAGGACCATATCTTCAAAGTAGATATAAATTTGACTTTTGTTTTATTAATTTGGCAGTTTCATTTTCTTTTTAAAATGCACAAATGGTACTTTTGAATGTAATGAATGATGATTTAATAAATGACTCAGGGCTGTACAATCATTTAGATAAATCTTACATTTTCCCATAATATTAGTAGATTTTAAATAATCTTTTTTCTGGTTTTCCTTTTCCCTTGCCCAAAACAGATCTCCCAGAATCTTAATAGAACGTGTTTCAAAAAGACAAAAGCCAAAGATATCTTCTGAGGATCCTGATGAATAATGTGAGATAAGATGTCCTAAATTCAAATATAGGGACATCAATTTCTTTTTTTAACTTCCTTATAAAATCTGCTCACCTAGGAAAAAAACACTGATTAAGTCTAAAAATTATGTTCTACATTTTATTGGAATTGCCAGTGTATTCTAATATAAAATGCACTTATTTCCAAAATGTATTATTGCTACTTGGAAAAGGCAGATCTGGTTTTCAAAGATGATGCTTTAAGGTTAAAAATGAAGATAGTGACCTCAAATCTCTCACAATTTGTAAGGCTGGCATGCCATCTATCTCAATAATACCTAACAAGAATGTCAAATGGACAGAAACAGCCATGGTAAGCAGGTGCTTGAAGCTGACAGTGATTGCTGTATTTGAGGTGATGGGAACAGCATTTCCATTAGTTCAAGTGAAATACAATGCCCTGCCAACCCTAGGTATCAGTGTATTCAATCCCCCTGCTGTGGGTGTCCATTTTCTGTTGCTGCAATTAAAAATCAGTTGATACAGAGTCAAAATGTTGTACATTCTTCCCCTATCCCTTTCCCTGTCACTGTGTTTCCAGCTTCACCGGAAGAACATGTCACTATGGTAACCAATCCCTCTGGTGCACAGACCAAGTCAACCTTTCTAGTCAGGTTGCCAGGCAGAGTAACACAGAATCAGAGCCCTGGATGGACCCACCAGAAGCCTTGTCTCTAAGTGGAGTTAACTCATGCCAGAAAGAAGGATATCTGTCTTGTTCTAGAAGGTGTTCAAGAATATCCTGCCAGTATTTGCCAGTCATTATTAACATGAATTCTCCCCATGTTTCAGCTAACTTCCTGCTATTTCCATTTTAAAGAAAGCAAAAAGAACAGATAAAATAACACTTAAGAAATCTGAAAACTGTCACCCGTTGTCAAAAACAACTCTACCTCCTTCCTCGTTTTCCTACTTTCTCAATCCAAGCCCAAGTTGCTCTCTTCTGAAATCCCTTAACATCCTGTACATCTTTATAAAGTTGTAGAGCTCCAAATGGGTCACCTGGCTCTAATAAGAACCTGGTCATGAAGCAGATAGGATATCTGTAGTATGAACACACCCGTAACTAAATCAGCTGAAATCCCTAGTCATTCTCAAGAAGCTACAAAGCAAACACCAAGATGGATTCTCTCTCTGAACCCACCTCACCTCCTAAATGTGAACTGGTCTCCTAGACTGTACCCGCTGTCTGTCTTTTTCAAATAATTGACTTTTTAAATTAATTTTTTCTAATGTTTCAACACTTTTGTAAATCAAAGAACATTGGTTCTTACAAATGCTATTTTAAAACATCAGTAACCTCAACAGCATTATGATAGGATACATTAAGAACTGCTTTATGTCCTGGGCTCAAAGCATCTTGCAAATAATAGCATCATTGTCACCTTAGTATCAATATTAGTAGTTGAAGTCAATGAAATATTGAGGAGGGGGCATGACTCCCAAAATCTGCATATCTTCTCAGGCTGCAGCCCTGATATTTCTTCAGATCAATATTAACACACATCACATCCAAAGAATATTTCAGTGGGGTGATGGTATAGGATGGTTCATGACATATAAATCATACAAGATTTACAAGTTGCATCAAATAAGGAGAATTTTTCGTTTATGCTATCATGTTAATGTGTTGAATAAAATGTTATCATTAGCAAATGCAGCTTGTTTTCTGTTTTGGTGTACTTTGTATATTTTTCATGTAAGTCCTCTGAAAACCACATTTTTTTTCTCTGAAATTCCAACTTTGGTATTACTTTTGTTGTGCTTATTAAACCCTGCTGATATTTATTGCACATAACTCACTTTTTTGTCAACCACTTTTTCAAAAGGAGAAATTTTTTTAATTGTGACATGCTACTACCCGGCCAACAGGTTTTGAAATGCTATACACAAAGGTTGGTGATGTATTGATGTTTATATGACCAATGATTTTTCCCTCTGTTTTCCTTGTTTGGATCAGTTCGACATCTAAAAGATGAAGAATCCGAGTCTATTACACGGACAAAGCAGTCTTAGAAGAAGGGCTTCTTCAAAGAACAACGATATAGATTCCCTTCCCTCTCGGAGACTAATGAAGCGTTATCCTGGATAACAACCCTGGACCATGAGATTTCACGCGAGTCTGGACACACAAGAGCAAGACAAGAAGCCTCCACCGCTTTCCATTACTATCTATGGGAAGGTAAGTTCGGGCACTCGGAAGTGCAGACAGGCCTGGGTAAATGGACAGCTGGTGGCCGGGAGCAGAGGCCAGGGGCTGCAGGGCCTACCCAGAGGCGCCAGGCTCTCTGCAGCGCCACGCCTCGCGCCTCCCGCTTACCTTTCCGAATGAGGGCAGCGATCTCCGGGTCGAAGCCCTGCCGGTGGCACTTCCTCCAGAGGCCCATGTTGGTGGAGTTGTACTGTCGGCTGCACTCGTCCGCGGGGCTCATGGCGAAGAGCTGCCGGCGATTCCGGGCCCGGAGGAGTTTGCCCTCCCAGCGGTCCAGGCGTGAGCGGCTGGCCCGGAGCGGCAAGTTGTTGTTGTTGTTGTAAATAAAGCCAGGGTCAACCCGGCGAGTATTGAAGGCCTTGCACCTGTCCCTGTGCTTCCTAGCGTCGGTCTCGTACCAGTGGTCGGAGCAGATGGCCACAGCCAGCATGCCCAGGGCGCAGAGCGCTAGCGAGAGGCCCGTGTAGAGCAGTAACCTTCCGGCAGCCATGCCTCCGCTTCGCGGCTACACCATGGGCATGATCCGCCGCAGCCTCGCCTTCCCTCCGCGCGCCCGGAACAAAGCGGCGGGCGGCCGAGCTGGGGGATGGGGACAAGAGGGGGACTCGCGCCGCGGCGCCCCCTCGGCCCCTGCCTACCGGTGCACGGCCCGGGGACTGCGGGGATGGGGGCGGGCAGCCTAAAAAGTTCTGATCCGGCGAGATTCCTGCGGGCTCCTGGGCATCCTCCGGGGCAGGTGCAGCCTCAAGCGGCGGCGAACTCCACACAGCCGCTTCCCGCCCCCTCCCCGCAGCGCAGAAAGCTACTGCTCCAAGGCGGCTGCCTCGGCGCTCAGCCGAGTTTCGGGCGCCACTGCCCTCGGCCGGGAAACTAAATGCCAAGTGTCCGCAACTGCGGTGGAGCTTGCTGGGATTTCTTTGTGCAACGTAGAGACTGGACCGACTCTCCTGATTTCTGGGGAAGATGAGGGTGGGTGCTGTCAAGAGGAGCCACTAGTCGACAGGATGAATTGAAACACCCCCGATGTGGCCGCCTGGCGAAGGAAACCTCCAGATGCCAAGGACAACTGTCCTGAGCCTCGCCCGGGTCTCTCTCTCTCTCTCAGGGACTCTCCCCCTTTCCGGTCCGTAAGCAAAGACCTGGGATGCGCACCCAGAAATGTTCTTCCTCTCTGGGTCGGGTCTTGAAAAAAAAAAAAATCCGTTCCCTGGTCACCAGCAGGTCCCTTGTTCCTTCTGGCCCACGCGGGGCTCTCAGAAGCGGGCTTCCCACGGACGCACTGTCTCTGCCCACCTTTCCCCGCGAGCTCCCGTGTTGCCTGCCTCTGGCCTCGCCATTCAGGCGTCCCCTCCAGCGGACGGCGTGGACACCCGAGCGGCGTTACGGGACGAGTTCTGGCCTGGGGTTTGCGGAGACTGGGCGGTAGCTGACTGGAGCGGGGGGCGGGCTGCGCAGAGGAGGGCGCACAGCGCTGGGCGAGCAGCGCTGGGCGCTCGGAGCTCCGCGCACAGCGCCTTCAACACCATGGACAGGGTCGCGCAGTCGCTGCGCGCTGTCAGCCCCTCAGCTAGCCCCCGGGGCGTCTTGCTGCTCTCTACAGCGAGGTTTTCTCCTTGGAATGTCCACCGAATGCTTCCAGACCCTCCTCTGCCTCACTTCATCTGGCTTCCCGCATCCCCGGAGCGAGCTGCCCAGGTGCACAGAAATTGCTGCAGGCACGGAGGAAAACCTGGTCCCGGCTCCTCAAAACAACCCGCCCCCTTCTGCCACCTGAGCCCTGGTACTCTAGCACCGCGTCTGCTCTGTCCAACTAGGGTCAGCCGCTCTCAGATTGCACCATTTTCTTCGCAGCCCACTCAGACGCCGACATGCCGGCTCACTCGCAAGCGTGCACAGAATCCAGTCCAAGCCTCGGCGTCCAGCAATCAGGCTCCAGACGCACGATGGTCGCGGAGGTGAATGGGGCGGGGGGTGGGGGAGGGAGGCTGGGTCGCTGGTCTTCCCCTCCCAGCTTCCTGCTCTAGCGGCTGCTGCTCCAAGGCCTCCCAGGCTCGGATCCCTGACTGCGCCCCGGGGGCTTGAGAAATAGCATCGCCCGGGTGTGGGCGCCGGAGGAAGCCGCTGCCGCGCTCGCTTGCTCGGGCGCCGGGCGCTGCAGCCTTGGCTAAAACCCACAGACGAGAACACTGAGCGCGCAGCCAAAAGCTAGTGATGTCATCCGTGCAACGTGAGCCTCATCTCTTATTTTTCTAGCCTTCTTAAAGATAAACTGCACCATTTCCCAGGCACGAAATGTCTAAGCCTTATTCTTTGACCAGGCAAGTCAATGGTGTCTAGGTAGGTATGTGCCCAACCACTTCCATATGTATGCACATATACATATGTGTGGCATGTAGCATGTTTACATGTATATTATAAATTTAGGGATGCTCTTTTTAACCATGGAAAATTCCTTCAAATCCAACACAGTTCTTTGAAGAAAAGACTGCCTATTGCAGAATCGGCTTTTATAGGAGCTGGGCAAGCTCCTGCGTCCAGGTTTCAATAGCTGGTTTGCCTTTGATCGTTGTCTTCTCCTGGGAAGCCACAGGCACTACCTTGCTAGCTACAGGCGTTTCCACCCAGAGCTGAGCAAAGAGTGACCGCCGGGTTCACCGCCCAGCCCTAGTCCAGCCCCAAGCTAGCGCCCCGAACCCCAACACACACACACCTACACCTGCCCTCCCTCCTCGCAGGAAAAGAAAGAAGAAATTTGATCTGTACTTTCAAAACCAGAAAAAGAATTTTAATAAGAGGGGACGGTTAGAAAATATTTTGAAAATGTTGGGGGGCTTGTGCTTTGAGGGGAGGCAGGGTTAAAGGCAATCTCGATGCAGGGTGTGTCATTTTCTGAGAGTGACAGCTGGGTCTGGGTTCTGCAGGGGCACTGGGAGGTAATGCTGGACCCCAGACCTTGATCGGGTGGCCCTCAGGCAAGCCCGTTTCATCCCAACCCCCGCCCCTTCTTCGCTCACGTGAGACCAAGCCGCAAAGGCTGGGAACCTCCCTCCAGCTCCAGATACTGGGGTTTTCACTCTTAACGCTCACCATTCTTTTTCACACTCCAAAGCCAAGGTCCCGCACTGCCGAGTAAAGAGCTGTCCTGGGGGAAAGAGAGTGCCAGGCAGCCTGCTTTGCACAACGGGGATTGCAAGTCAAAATGAGCACACCTCCACCATATTCTTTTTGTCTTTTTTTTTTTCCCCTGCTCCCTGCATTTTAAAAATCGCGAACAAGGCGTTTCAGTGCCATCTAGTGGGGGAGGGGCGTGCCTTGCTTTTCGCTCCCGAATTCTGCAATGGGATTTACTGAAGGGACAGCAGAGCCTCAGGATGTTGCTGGCTTCTTGGGTGCCAGACACGTGCCCTGTGCCAGTCCTCACCCTCGAGGTTCCCTAGGATGTCACTGCAAAGCCAAGTGACTTTGGCCACAGTGTCTTCTCACCTTCCTTTCTATCTCCTCTTACCAATTCTTCCACCCCCTGCCCTGGCCCTGAAAATAGTGAACCACAGCGCACACACTGGGAACACATGAGGCCATCGTAAATTTCTGAAGCTGTTTTCCTCCCTAAAGCCCAGAGCATTTTTAAGGTAAGAGGGAACCTGCATACCATAACAGGAAAGAAGAAGAGGGGTGAAATGACACCTACAAGGTCACTTGGGAAATTCCACCCAGTCAGCATTACAACCTCAGTCTTCTTGTTCCCGACTCTCCCCGCATCCTTAGAACCAGCTTCTGAGACCTTCAGCAGGCAGGCCAGGCAGTGCCTACTCAGAGTAGGAATACCTGCTCATTTGTCACTGACATTCCTCCCTCAGTGGTCAGTTCACCCTTTCTTGGTCTTGCTTTTTAACTTCCCTCTGGCCTGTACCTTAGGCCTGCTTCCAAGGATGTGCCTTGTGCTCTCACCCATGGATCTCAGCAGGCTTGTGTTTCAGTCTTTGCATGGAAAAGGGATCTAGAGGGACATTGCTCTCCTCTTTTCAAACATCACTAACATTCCAGTTTTTGTCCTTGGTGAAATCCTGAAAATCCTGTGAATGATGTTAATCGAGATCTCCTTTGAAGTGCAATTATTTGTGGCCAGCCTTATACCATTTGGGGATGATCTTGGTCTTTGGGGCTCAGAAGATGGTGGATCCTTCTGTTAGGAGATAGGGCACAGGGAAGGGACTGCCCTTTAGGACTCTCAGCCCCCCTCCCCAAAGCCCTCAATCCCCATCCGATAATCTACCAAGCTCCTTCCTGACAAGGGAAACTGAGTCATCTGGAGGTAAAGGGAGGAAGCTAGAAGACCACAAGGGGAATTTCAGACCATGAAGAAAAAGTCCCCTATCTTCTGCATGTGCAATAGCCCAAGGGACTGACCTAAGTTAACTTGTAGCTACTTGACATTTAACTTATCATTAACACTGTGGTTTGCTCCCCCTCTGTGCTTTGGGGGAGGGTTAATCATGTGTAATAGAGAAGAAATTGTGTTAAATTCAGCTGTCATTCAATGTGCCAATCAACCCCACATCCACTCAGACGAGAAGGGGGAGTACTAACACAGTCCAATAGTAGTGAGCTGTATTATGTGGACCTGGCCTTGAGCTACTCTGCAGCTCATCCCACTCTGCTCTCTCAGAGTGTTTTCTTTCAAGTTTACTCCATTCTTTGCGTGGGATGCCAAGAACCTGGACAGGGAACTCCCTGAGGAAGCTTGCCCTTGTGCTAGTAACACTTGCTCTATACTATAGGAATGCATGGTTCTTTTTTCAATTGACTGATCTAGGTTTCTGCCCTCTCTTTTCTTCCATTTCCTTCCACCCTGTTATTACAGCTTCACTGTCTCCATGTTTCTAAGCCATTCCTTCCCACTGACACCAACACTGTCCTAGATCATAAAATCTCAGAATCAGAAGAGACTTTGGAGTCTGCCATACAATAATGCATAATTCTCTCTCAGAACATTTCCCAAAAAGTGAATGGCCAGCTTCTGCTTGCATACTTGAAGAGATGAGAAATTCACTCTATCAGCAAGTGGCCCACTTCACTGTCAGACAGTGTGGATGGTAGTTAGATAGCTCTTCCTCATACTGAGCCTTATTCTAGGTCCCTGTAACTCCTACCCATTGGCCTTATTTTTACTCTCAGATGACACTGATTCATCTTCCATAGAATATTCCTTCTGATACTTGACATTAGCCATCAAAGTCTTCTTTCCTCCATGTCAGATGTCCCTTGCTCATCGATGCCTTCTGCTAACTTGTCTATGGTTTGTGATACCTCCTGTGGTCCTTTTAGTTAATACCTCCTCCATCTCAAGTCATGTGAATCCATGAAGAAGAAAATTTGATCGGTCTGTCTCATTTATACATGACCCATGTAGAGTTCTGATGATCCTGTCTTCCTCTTCTGGAAGCCCACAGTCATGCCCTTTGTATGCATCTTAGAATCTTATCCCAAAATGGCATTAAGATCACTGATCTGATATATGAAGAACTCAAAAAAAACACCAGAAAAACAAACAATAAATGGGCTAAGGTGCTAAACAGACAATTCTCAGAAGAAGATATACAATCAGTCAAAAAATATGTGAAAAAATGTTCAATATCTCTAGTAATTAGAGAAATACAAATCAAAACCACTCTAAGATTTCATCACATGCTAGTCAGAATGGCAGTTATCAATAATACAAGCAACAATAAGTGTGGGCGAGGATGTGGGGGAAAAGGTACACTTATACCTTGCTGGTGAGGCTGCAAATTGGTGCAACCAATCTGGAAAGCAGTATGGAGAATTCCTTAGAAAACTGGAATAGAACCACTATTTGACCTAGCTATCCCACTCCTTGGTTTGTACCCAAAAGACTTAAAAACAGCATACTATAGTAACCCAGCCACTTCAATGTTTATAGCAACACAATTCACAATTGCTAAACTATGGAAGCAACCTAGATGCCCTTCAATAGATGAATGGATAAAAAATTATGGTACATATATACAATGGAATATTACTCAGCCATAAAGAATGGTGAAATTATGGCATTTGCTGGTAAATGAATGGAGTTAGAGAATATCATGCTAAGCCAATCTCAAAAAACCAAATGCTGAATGTTCTTTCTGATAAGCTGATGCTGACCCATAATTAGGGAAGAATGGAAGAACTAGGCAAAGGGGAGGGAGGAAAGGGGAGAGGGAATGGGGGTAGGAAAGATAGTGGATTGAGATGAACATCTTTACCTTAGGTACATGTATGACTGCACATGTGGTACGACTCTACATCGTGTACAACCAGAGAAACAAAAAGTTGTGCTCCATTTGTGTACAATGAATCAAAATGCATTCTGATATTATGTATAACTACTTAGAACAAATTTTAAAAAGCAATACTAAAACCTTTTAATAAAATTGTAATGTGACTTTCAAAAAAAGATGACTGATTTGCTGTTTGTGAAATCTAGATTTTTAGATTTTTTTATTAGTAATTCTATTTGTTCACATGTACCTTTTTTAAAAGCAATGTTCACATTCTGCAAGCTCTATCTAGGTTCTCCAGCAGAGGCTGAGATATTGAAAGCTCTCTACATTTCCTGGTTCACCTAGAGCAAAGGAAGGCTGAGCTACAGTTTGTTCACTCATTCATTCTGCACTGTCTTCATCTACCATATTTACTCTACTCCACACTCCACCTTCAGTCTGAAAATCCTCTTTGACATTGTCAATTGGAAGCAAACTAAAAGTCGATAAAGAATGCTCCCTCTTTGCCATTTATCAATATACTACATGAGTTTCCCAGAGAAAGACCTCCTACATATTCTTATTGTTGTTTTCATAATTGACTTTGCCCAGTTTGAATGTTATGTGTAACCCAAAAGAGATGTTGAGCTTTTACCCTTCCAACACAATTCCCCAAGTCTGTGGCATGCTAGTATCTATGCTTGAGCAGGT